GACACTCCCAGGGGTAAGTGTGAGAAGCTGGGGGAGGGGGGGACAAGTGCAGAGGTTGAAGCATTGGGTACTGCTATTGTGTTTGTGTTTCTAAAATTATAAGTTGATTTAAAAAAAAACAAAAAAAAGATCAATTGTCTCATGGGAACATGCCTGGCAAATGATGTCTCAGGTAGCCCTGGCCAGGGAAGAGGAGTTGCATGTGTAAATTCAGCTGATATGGCCACCAGGGTTTGTGAGATTGCTACTAACCTTTCTGAGTCCAGTGGGCATGACCATAAAGGGGAGCCAAAGCATAATGCCAAATTAGACACAGATTCCAGATTCCCTACTCTGAGTCCTTTATTGTAGAGTCTGATCATTATCAATGTTAGAAATGAATTATGTCATGTAAAAGACACTCGGTGAGACTAAATTACCTTGGCAAAGCAAAATTTACTCCTGCAAGAGGATGCATGCACATAGCCGTACATAGAGGACAGGCCAGTGAGCACACCGAGTGGGTAGTCCACTCGGGTTTTTAATCCCTGATGCAAGTCTCAAGGCTGTATCTCACCCCATTGACTAGGGCTTTGATGGCACAATCTTTTCCCTTACCCCGTTGGCTAGTTAAAATTTCTAAGGCACGCATTCCTACTTTAGGAAAGGAAAACGAAAGATCATAAAGTCTTTACTCACTTCAGGAAGTAGTCAAAGAAAAAGAAAGAGATCATAAAGTCTTTACTTCAGGAAATAAAAAAAGAAAGGTTACCCGAATACAATAAACAGGATTATAATAAACATATATATGTGTGTGTGTGTGTGTTTTCCCACACACACACCAACAGAGTCTTGTGATGATGTCTGATGTTGCTAAATGTAGACAATGGTTAGAGAACTTTCCAAAGGAGTTTGCAAAACTTAGTGTAGGAAATTCACCCAAACAAGAAACTGGAATTATCAAGGGTCAAGGATTGGCAAAGGGAGAGGAGGAGAATAAGAAAAGGAAAAGAGACATGAAAGAGGTCAAATAAAACAGAAAAAAAGACTGAACCACAAAAGGAGGTGATTGCCAAAATCCTCAGAGCAAAGAAGAAATATTTAACAAGAGTGTGTGGCCTTGCCGCCTTTGAAATTGATCTTAAAGAAGCACAAATCTTTTTTGCTCAAAATTTCTCCTGTGTTATCTGAGTAACAGGAAAGGATGAGATCATCATTCAGAGAGACTTTACCGATGACAGGAGAAGTGACGAAGGGTGGATGAAGAGCTTGGAGAAGTGAAGAAATTGCTTTGAAAAAGTGTCTCTATTTAATGATCTGAACTTAGAGTTGATAATGGCCAAAGAGACAAAGGCCTTTTAAAAACATGTATTTATCCTACAGCAAATCTGTAGACAACCCTCACATCCTTGGTATTTTCACTGTTCTGTACAAAGTTGCTTGGGTTTTTTGGTTTGGTTTTTGTTTTTTAATTGCAAAATATAATAAACAGGGGAGACAGTCATGCTAATATATGAAATAGATTTTGGTGAAATAAAAATTTTTGGTCATTTGGTCCTGACTTTTTACTCTCTTTTTTTTATTTTTGGAGAAACACTGTGGATGTTTTGTAGTAAGTAGTTCTGTTAATTATTTTGCTAATTGAATGTTGAGTAATTTTAAGAAAGAATTTGAATCTGCCTCCCTCAACAATAATATTTGTCTCCTGATTTCTTGGTGTGATAGCTTTGAGGTTGAGTTTGCTTCATTGTTATCAACAAAAAAATCCCCTTGGGAGGTAAAGTCATATATATATATACATATATAAAGGGACTTCAAAAGTTTATGGGTAAATAGTTAAAAGCTAATGGAAATCTTAACTAATTTATTAAAGTGTTTACTGGTATTAGAGAGGTGGGAATATCTTGAAGCTGAACCCTTGTCTATTCTTGGACTTCATCTCTTAATTAGGTTGATTGGAATTGACAGCTTCCCTCTTCTTGCCAGGACTGAAACATGAAGGGTTGGTTTTATCAAGCAATTGTGGATACTTTTGGGGTTAATATATCAGAAGAGAAGGATATATTTAAATGTCAAAATCTTTTAAGAGACTTTAAAAAAATAATTTAAAGAATATAAGTTATCTGTTTCTTTTTTTACATAATTGGGAGGAGATAGAGATTTTGGTATATGTGCAATACATAGCAAAGCCTCCTGGAGCATGGGGGAGGGACGGGGGTAGTCTTTGGCCTAGAGTTCTGACAGACTCGGGCCACCTAAAAGTGTTGAGACTTTTTAGTGTGTATGTGTGAGTATGTATGTTTTAAAGTGTGTATTTTACAAAAATCACGTTTCACGGTTACCTCCCTATCCCTCACTTCCCAAGGTCTATCAGAGAATATGGTGTGGCCTTGAGACCATAAGGGAAGGAAGAGGCATGCATTCTACAGCACATGCTCCCCTTCATTATACTGCAATTGAGTAATTGCTCTCTAACTTCTAATTTGGGAAAGTGCAACCAATGGTATGACTCATTATAAAAGTTTCTTTTACTCCTATTTTCCCTTGGGTTGCAAAATAAAGGTGGAATTGAGGAACAGTGGGAAGGGAAAGCCAGCTTCTACACTATGTAAGTATTTGGGTATGTCTTTTTCAAGTTGATCTTTGGGAAAGTATTCAAGTGAAAGCAGTCTTAGGGTCTCTGAGAAGGAAAGGGGATGTACTCTATATCCTGCCTAGGAAAGCCTAGGTCACATGTGAGGATGGTTCTAAGGGAAGCCATGGAGCTAGAAAATACTAAAAATAAAATTGTGATTTGGAATTTTTAGGATATTGTATTTTATATTACATTATGAATGTGTAATACTTGCCCTTTTTTTGTAAATCTGATGGGAAATAAGAGCAACCTAGATGTTTACAGGCCTACCTTCACAGATTGCTCTGTGGGTTAATGTGCCGTTTGAACTGCAAGGTCGGCGGTTCAAGCTCACCAGCTACTCCTTGGAAACCCTATACAGGGTCATTATGGGTTGGAGTTGACTCGATGGCACTTAACAACAACCTTCACAGTCTAGAGCTTTTTCAATTGAGCAGTTCTGGTGCCATGGTGATCCAGGTTATTAAGAGTCTATTACACTTAGATTAAGGAGCTCCGGTAGCGTAGTGGTTACAAATTGGACTGCAAACCTCAGGGTCAGCAGTTCAAAACTACCAGCTGTTCTGCAGGAGAAAGATGAGACTTTCTGCTCCTGGAAAGATTTACAGCCTCAGAAACCCTGTACAGGGTTTCTAGGAGTCAGAACCGACTCCATGGCACATTACCACCACCATGCTTGGATTATCCATCTTTGATGGTTTCCCCTTTAATACAGAATGCTCCTAAGGCAATGTCTATGGGTTATTTTTTTAAACGGGCCTTGAGTCCTGTTGGTATGGGGTTAGATTGTTCCAGATTTTAGGAGTGAACATTTTTTGATGAGGAAAGAAATCTTTTAAGGATTCTAAGCCAAGCTCTGTAACTGAAAATGCCATTCAACTTCAGATCATTTGATGTGATGATTTTGAGCTTCATGGCTTGTTTGGTTATAGAGAAGATGATGCAACTTGAACTAATTTTTAACGCAGCTTCCTTTACCCCACATAGTATGTGGAAGTTGAATTCTTTTCATTGGGAATCATAAGGAAAACAGGAATTGTCTGTGTTATCGCTTGGTGGAACAGGTTGGGAAGCTGAATTGTTGACACACCAGCCTGATAACATGAAGAAACTTTTATAATAAACTTCACCTAAATGATTTCAGCACAAAAAGATGATTGGAATTTGGAGTTAGTGTTTCTCATTAATGCATATTTCATCAGTCCCACAGTGCCTGCCATTGCTGTGTAAAATGAAGAGCTCTCTGTTGATTTTAA